TTTTATTTTATTTTATTTTATTTTATTTTATTTTATTTTATTTTATTTTATTTTTAGATTGGCATAGTGCAACTTTAATCCCAACATTTGGGAGGCAGAGACAGGTAGCTCTCTGGGTTTGAGGGCAATCTAGTCTATATAGTGAGTTCCAGGCCAGCCAGAGCTACATAGTGAGACCCTGTCTCAAAAATGTTGGGATGTTTTTATTTTGAACTATGTTCACTTGTGGGCACATGCCATGTTTTCCAGAGCCCACAGAGGCTAGGGAGTAGGATCCTGATGGGGCTAGAGTCACTAGAGGCTGTGAGCCACTCAGCGTGGGTGCCAGGAACAAACAGATTCTCTGCAAAAGCAATCTGTGTTCCGAATGGCTGAGCCATCTTTCCAGCCCTCCGGCTCTCTTTCTTACACAGGTGTACTTGTGCAGACCTGAGGTGCAGACCAGTGCTGGCTCAAGGGACCCCAATGACCTCCTCTGCGCTCCCTATATCCTGTCACTGCTTGTGGGTCAAACTTGATTCTCTTTTGGACTGCACAGTCATCTTCTCTTTTTCTCCTACAGCCTTGTCCACTCTTCCTCCACTGACCAGCATCTGGCTCCAAACAAAGATGGGTAGGTTTTGAGGAGCAAAGAGGAATGACAGGCAACTTGGGGAACCAGTGGGCTTTCCCCTTGGGTGGAAAACCCTAGGGACTGAGCAATGAGGAAGCTCCCTTCAGGGCTTCAGATCTAGAGAGATGAATTGTTATCTGGTATATCACAACATACTTCCCACTGGGAGGCCAAATTTGCTTTCTGCTATGCATAATGATCCCCTGACAATCTGAGCAGGCGTAAAAAAAAACCAAACCAAATCACAACGTACAGATGTCCAAGGAAATCCACAACATCACTAACTACCAGGGAAATGTGAATGAAAACCGCAGTGAAAGACTAGCTCACTCTAGGAAGAATCTAGGAAGATTATCTCTCTTTCCCCAAAAGGCAAAAGATAACAGGGCTGGAAAGACTTGGGGCAAGGGAAGCCTTCCATGTGGCTGGTGGGAGTGTAGATTAGCACAGTCATTGTGAAAATGACCTGGAAGTCCTGTATGTCCTGCCAGCCTATGGTCCCAGCTCTTGGGAGGTGGAGGCAGGTGGATCACTGGTTCACCGTCTTGAGTTGTGTAGTAAGTATGAGGTCAGCCTGGGCTACATAGAACCCTGACTTTAAAAAAAAATGCTAGCCAACATGGTGACACACTTCTCTAATCCCAGCACTCAGGAGGCAGAAGCAGGTGAATGTCTATGATGTTGAGGTCAGCCTGGTCTATACAGGGAGTTCTAGGCAAGTCAGAGCTACATAGTGAGGCTCTGCCTCAAAAACTACCAAACAACTACCAAACAACGATAACAGCATGCTGATTTGATAGACGTTGGATAGACTGGTGGTTACCAGAGACTGTGCAACACATACATGCTTGGTGCCTATGGAAGTCAGGGAAGGATGTTGGGTCCCCTGGAACCAGAGTTATGGTTGGTTGTGAGTTACCATGTGGATGCTAGAATTCAAACCCTGACCCTCGGTAAGAGCAGCTAGTGCTCTTAACCAAAGAGCCATCACTCCAGCTTCTAATCATTTTTAAAAGGCTAGAAGAAAGGGTTTTTAATGTTCGTACCATGAAGAAATGATAAATTTTGAGTACACAGCTAACTTTGGTTTGACTGTCATGCCATATATACAAGCATTGAAACAGTAAATGGCATAGTATAAATGTAAACTGTAAAAGCCCCTTTAAATTTGTTATTATTATTATTATTATTATTATTATTATTATTATTATTATTGAGTGAATGGGCCATGGTGTACATATGGAGGTCAGAGGATAACTTGTGGAAGTTGACTCTCTCCTTCCACTGTGGGTTCTAAGATTTAAACTCAGGTCATCAGGCTATCTCAACATCCTACAAATATGTAAAAGTTTTAAGTTAAAGATTTTAGGCCCAGTTGTCTCTGAGTCTCCCACATCTTTCACAGTTTAGGACCCAAGCTCCATTCTCCCTTTCATGCATAGTTGCCTTCGCTTTTTTTCTCCAGCATCAACTCCTCCACAGATGACTACTTGGTTCCCAACAAGCACAGGTAGGTCCGCCAAAAGGAAACAGGGATAACCAGTCATCTTGGGGAGGGTGAGGTTAGGGGAGGCCTGCCTTTATGATTGAGGACCTAACATATGTAGAAATCATAACTGTAAAAATTTTAGGTCCAGGAAGCCCTGGCTGGAGGGAATGTGAGGTGTCTTGGTCTTTGTCTTAGTTCTCTGAGAAAGTACCATCTTTGTGTTCTTAGTTCTGACAGCTCTTCCAGAGGAGACCAGCGGCTCGTCCATCAATGGCTCTGAGCACAGGTGAGTCAGGTGCCTTCAGAGGAAAGGTCCTGGGAAAGGATGTCCAGGGAGTGCATGTGGTCCAGGGACCAGGGACCCCAGGATCAATCTCAGGATGGCTGGGGACCCGGCTCTGCAGAGGAGTTCTCAGGTTCTGAAATGGAGGGGGAGAAAGAAGACTGGGGTCTGGGGAACAGGTCCCAAACATTGGAGGAGCTGTAGAAAAAATCAGAGACCAGGATGAACCAGAATCTCTGTAAGAAAAGATAGAAAGAAAGAAATAATTGAAGAAAGAATAAATACAGATTTCACAGAATTGGAAAAGGAAGAGTCTCAGATTACAAAGACTCACACAGGGCTAGGAAGCTGGCTAGATTAGAGTGTTTGCCGTGCAAGCATGAGTACCTGAGTCTGGGTTCCTAGCAGCCACATAACAAGCTGGGTACGGTAGCATGTACCTGTAATCTCGGTGCTGGAAGGCAGGGACAGGCAGATCTCACAGGCTCAACGGCCAGCCAGTCTCATCAGTCGTGAGCTCTACCTTAAGGAAGAGACCTTGTCTCAAAAGGTAGACAAAGATGCTGGACATAACAGAGTTCTCTCTCTCTCTCTCTCTCTCTCTCTCTCTCTCTCTCACCTCTAGCACCACACCACACCACACCCCCATATAAAGTCATTGTCAAGAGAGGAAACAGGGACCATGCCCACAGACATAGACAAGCAGACATCTGTAGACCTAGTTCATGACTTGAGAAGGTCAAGATGAGAACATTCTAGAAACGTACAGATTATCTACAAAGGATAAGAATGGGATTCCATATCAAATGTAATGAGATAGCTGAAGCCATCAGACGCCCCACGCACCCTCGTGAGTAAGAAAAGACAGTGAGATCGCAAAAAATTAAAAGGATTTTTTTTTTGAAAAAATGAAGACCAGAAAAACCTATACATGTTTCTTTGAAAAGTTTAGCACACTAGATATACTGCTGTCCTGACCAAGATAAAATATGTAGCACTGGGGAGGTAAGGGCAGGTGTATCTCTGTGAGAGCAAGACCAGCCTGGTCTACAGAGCAGCTTCTAAGGCCAGAGCTGTACAAACAACAAGCTCAACAAACCAGCAACAAAAGGAAACAGAACAAAACCCAACCTATCTCCTCAAATCCAAGAAGCAAACAAGCAACAACAAAACCCCAGAAATCAAGCAACCACGAAGTCCCATCAAAGAGCTGGGCAAGGTTCTCAGATCCAAGATCAGCAAAGGCCATGCCCGGGTTTAATTCCCAGCACCCGCAATAGGCTAACCCCTGCCTGTAACTGCAGTTCCTGGCGTCTGACATCCCCTCCACCCTCTGGGCATGCATATGGCACACATACATATGTGCAGGCAGAGCACTCACACAAAACATAAGGTTAAAAAAAATTGTTACCTCCGAGAACAGTGCAGTACGGGTGGAGGAAGTGAGTCTTGCCCGGCCTGTACTCCCTGGAATTGGGAGGGGGTGGTGAGGGTGGTGTCAGGAATGCAAAGTCATCCTGGTCTAGCTACATAAGAGTTTGAGGCTAAAACACTGGATGATGCGTAGGGAGTCTTGTGGAAAAGTGGGAGGAAAGAGGAAAGGACCCGGAAGTGACAGGAGCTCCACAAGAAGACCAGCAGAGCCAGCTAACCAGGACCCAGAGGGGTTTGCTGAGACTGCAGCATCAACCAAGGACCATGCATGGACTGGCCCTAGGCCTCTACACAGATGTAGCAGATGGGCAGCTTAGGCCTCAAGTGGGTCCTTTAGTGAGGGAAGTGGGGACTGCATGGGATACAGGCTCACTTGCCAGCTTTTAGATCACTTCCTCCTGGCAGGACTGCCTTGCCAGGCCACAGGGGAAGAAAACTTGCTCAGGTCCTCTGCAACTTGATGAGCTGGGGTAGATGGGAAAGGGAGCTACCCTTGTCTGAGGAATAGGGGAGTGGGGAGGGTGGAAGGATGGGACTATAACCAGGATGTAAAGTGAATAAAAGACAATTCAGGCTAGTCTGAACTACATAAAACTCTATCTTAAAAACAAAACAAAACAAACAAACAAACAAACAAAAACAGGGGTGACCCTAATGAGTGGACCCTAATGAGGACCAGGCTGGAAGCATGCAAGCAGCAGCAGAATGTAACATGAAGTGACATCCACAGACAGTAGGGACAAGGTCCCATTATTTGGAAAACTAGTTACATAATTTAAGAATGAACCCCAACTAAGCTTGAGTTTTTTGTTTAAAGCAGATGATGTCAGGTGTGGTGGTGCACAGCTTTAATCCAGCGCTTGGGAGGCAGAGGCAGGGGGATCTCTGTGATCCCGAGGCCAGCCTGGTCTGCATCGTGAGTTCTAGGACAGCCAGGGCTGCATAGTGAGACTCTGTCTCAAAAGAGCAAAATAAATAAAAAAACAGATGAATGTCTGGGTGAGGAGGAGAGGATTTTTTTTTTCCAGAAAACTTTAGAAACACACATCACGGGGGAAAGTTAAACAAATCGCATTTTACTCAACAAACGTTAAGGAAAATGTTCACAAGCAGAGAACAGACTGGGGAAAGTTAATTGAAAAGAGCTGAAGACAAACACAGCAGTGCAATTTATAGTCCTCAAAGAAAAAGATGGCAATCCCAGTGAAAAAAATGGCAGACAACGAGAAAGATAATCAGTGGGAGAGAAAATCTGAAAGGCAAACACACATATTCACACATGCCAATCAGTCACCGGGAGCCGCCAGCTCACATCTGCTCAGTGAGCAAAGCAGCCACACACTGGGAAGAAGTGGACAAGGTGACAACTCGGGTTCCCTGAAGGGTCTCTCTGTGACTTCCTCACTGGCCTGCTGAGCTCTGGTTCTGGGACCGCCTCCTCCCAACAGATCTGCTTCTGGACCAGCTTGACAGCTTCTTATCTGGCCCAGCGAGGAGGTTCCTTCCTGAAGCTCAGTTCAGATCCCAGGCCAGAGTTTTTTCCCTTTCAACTGTGTTTCTTATAACTCAGTTTTCTCTCTGGCCCTGAGACCCCATGGCTGTCTCTCCCACTTATATCCATTTTCCCTTCAGGGCTCAGGGTGGGTCCTCAGGCAGGTGAACTCCAGCTACAAGGAGCTGCCTGGGGGTTGCACAGGAGCAGGTGACAGATGTCCTAACCCAGGCTCCTCTATCTGCTCCATGCCTCCAGAAACCAAAGTTCTCCTTCCTCTCCTTGCTGGACCTCCACAAGCCTTCTGCTCTCCATGCAGTGTGGACTCCTCCTGCTCAAGGGCCTGCTGCTGTCAGTTTTCTGTGTGGTCATTTGCCAAAGGCGCTGCCAGGTGAGTAGCCTGACTGGGGTGAGGGTGCTCTGCAGGGTCTGGCAAACGATCCATGATAACCACAGTTTCAGATTCAAGTGAGTCTGTTTATGAGATATGCAGAAAGCCAAAGTGAAAGAACAGATACCAAATGGCAGAGAGATAGCAAGCCATCATGAAACAGGGCATTTAAAACATCCAGCAAAACCCAAGGAAGCCCCATTGAGGCACCAGCTGGAGTTTCTAATAACAGAGTCCCCGGTAGAGCTCTGTCCTCTGGGATGAGGCTTCAACAAACAAACAGAACAGATACAGATACCATCAAATACGGTCCTCATAATACCCCACAAAAATCACCTAGGAATGTTGAGGCAGCCAGCTGGTTCTTAATTGAGCTTTCCCTTGGAGGATGAGCTTCCCATGGCTGAACTTCCGGTTTCCCTGCTTCTGCACTTTCATTATCACCAGGTAAACAATAGGAACTTCTTCTGGAGACATTAATGTGGTTGTTAGAATAGGTATGCTGGCCCCCCCCCCATAGGCTCACATGTTTGAATGCTTGATCCATAGAGAGTGATACTATTAGGAGGTGTGGCCTTGTTGGAGGAAATGTGTCACTCTTGGGGCGGGCTTTGAGGTGTTATAGGCTCAGCCTATGCCCAGTGTGGCACACAGTCTCCTTCTGCCTTCGAATCAAGATGTAGAACTCAGCTGGTGGGGATGGTGGGGGTGGTACAGGCCTGTAATCCCAGCACTCAGGAGGCAGAGGCAGATGGATCTTTGTGAATTCGAGGCCATCCTGGTCTACAAAGCAAGTTCAAGATAGTCAAGGCTACACAGAGAAACTCTGTCTCAGAAGACCAAAACTAACCAACCAACCAAAAAAGATGTAGAATTCTCAGCTCCTTCTTTAGCACCAAGTCTGCCTGTAGGACACTATATTTCCTGGCCAAGACAATAATGGACTAAACCTCTGAAACTGTAAACTAGCTCCGATTAAATGCTTTCATATATATATGAATTGCTGTAGTCATGGTGTCTCTTCACAGCAATAAAACCTTAAATAAGACAATTGCCTTTGGGCTAGTTAGCGTTTTCACTCGGCCTGTTTTGCTGTTCCCTTCCCTCCCTGTCTTAAGGTTAGGAGGACCAGGCCACCAATCCCCAGAGACTTGGAGGACACTTTGAAACAAACTTGCTTTGATCTGAATAGGGCATAATAGAGCTTTACTTTCAGAGACAGCTCTGCAGTGAGCTCAAACTGTTCATGTGTATATACCAAGGGAAGGTTCATGACAGGACAGTAGGGCTGAGACGGATGGGTAAGATCTTAGTGGTCTTGAATAGAAGTGCCATTTCTTGGACTCTCTGCCTGTTCCTCAGAAAGCATCCTCTGAGGAAAAGAGAAGCCTGGGGCCCTTGTTGAGCTCTCTTCAGGTCAGAGAAAAACAGAAGGTGCCGGGAAGAAGGGCTAAAGAGGAAGATGTCAGCTAGCAGTCCTGGGGCGGGAGAAGGCGACGCAGAAAGCCTTCACTCTGAATTTCCCCTTCTCCCTCCTTCCTCAGGGACAGGAGTATAGGGCAGAGGCAGTGAAGATGGAGGTTTCAGAATATGCCAGCTTCAGTGTTGTCCGGAAGTCCTCAGGGTATGGGAAGAACGACTATACCCAGTGACTACAGCCGCCCCAACCACTGCATGCTGCAACTCTACTGAAGCCATGGGGCAGGCCGACGGGAGACAACCGCCAGGCCATCCCTCAAATCAGCAGTGCTGTCACCCCTAAGAGCCACTCCCTCCCATAACCCAGACCTCCTTAAAGGTGACCTCCCACGGGAAGTTAATCTGCAAGTCAGATTCTCTCAGCACCCCGATACCCAGCTCCAGTACCTCCCCCCAAAGCACCACCTGTGTGCCCCCTGTCCCAGGATGGTCTCATTCTCTGTCCTGTCTCCGCTGGCATCACGCGCCTTTCCCTAGTGCAGTGCTCACAGTCACGCACGCACGTCGCCACTCAAGCTGTAAGTTCAGACTCTTGGATTGCATCAGAGCAGAGCAAGGTGATGCCATGGCCCCTGGCCTTCCTTTACTCTAGATTTAGAATTCTTAAAACGAGGGGGAAATGACTTCAATGAAAAGATGGGGAACCAAGAAAGGCTGTGATCTAAAGACAACAAACAGAGGAAGTCAAGGAAAAAAAAAAGGGTCTTTAATGGGACAGAAAAATTTCCCAAGCAGAGCACTGCTCACCCAGCCACACCTCAGAGCTGACCGTCAGGGGCCAGTATTGTGTTGGTCTATCGAGTGAGGCAATTTCATCTTCACACAGGAAGTCTGGTTGTTCAAACAGGATTGTTGACTGGCGGGAGCGGGGGGAGAGAGGGGCAGGATCCTTTAGGAAACAAAAAGCATGTGACATTCATAAAACAAGAAGAGGCCAGAGTGAGGTTCGGTACACGTCACGTCCAGTTCAGTCTCCTGAACGTCCACCATCACCAGCACGCTGACTGTCAGCCTCCCAACCTCAGAAAGGCCACTACAAAGAAAACACATCCTATTTTCCTTTTTTTTTTAATGTGGGGGAGAATAAAATACAGAAGTTTCTTCACAGATATTTCAGTTTATTTCACACGGCTGTCATCTACCTGTGCACGCGACACTTGTGGTCCATTTACCCCTTTTCACTCTCACTTTTCATTTCCACTTGATTTCTTCAAACCGAGGCCACCACTCCGACGCATTTGCTACGTAATCCTGGATTTGACTGCAATCTTACAAAGAGGAGGCATCCCCCCCTTTGTGATTATATTTATTTTTGGTTGTGTGTGTGTATTTTGTGTGTGTGTGTGGGGGGGAGAGTGAACATGGGTTCTGCGCCTGTAGAGATGAGAAGAGGCATCAGATCCCCCAGAGGTGGAGTCACAGGCAGTTGTGAGATGCTGGAACTCTGTGAGGTCAGTGACTTTTCTTGGCCATCTGTCCAGGCCCTGTGCCTGTATCTTGTACTTCTGTAAAATGACGTGATGCACTTTTCCCCGGGGAATTCTCTCACTCATTGCTGGGTACAGATGCCCAGGCCACTGTTCCAGTGCTAACACATACTGCATTGCACGCATGCTGTCCACCAGGAGAGGCAATTGGAAGCCAGGTGCATGTGCTCTTCTGTCCTCTCATCTTCCCATTGCAAATAGTTCTGTGGTGAACATCTCCATCATACTGTTTTTTGAATTACAAGCGACTTCCTTTAGAATTTATACCCGAAAGTGTTTGTAGGGCTTCAGGATCTAAGCTGCTGATGCTTCCAGCTCTGTTTCCTGAACATGACTAGAAAGCCAGAGATTGGACTTCCTGTGCATCTACAGGAAGTACACAGAACCATCTATGGATTGGTCATCCAAGAAGAAAATGGGCAGACGTTGGAAGCATGAAGGTTGTGTGCCCACAGATCACCAAAGAAACCAGAACTATTAAGCATGCAGGATTGCCTTTCTAAAGGCAATACAATCTGTTTCCACCCAGAAGGCTGGGAATTGATGGTGATTAACAGTCTGGTGATCTGCATTATTTGTCGGGCCAGGCCGAATCAAGCTTCCACAACCAGGACCGGAGGTGGCTAACAGCCCAAATGACCGCTACTCTATCTGTATGACCAAGACCAGGCCAGGTACTTCCTTAAGCCCATAAGCTAATATGGATAGCCTGTCTCTAGAACCCATCTTCTTGGAAGAACTAACACATACTTTGAGTTGAGTTTCAATGTAATTGTGCCTCCTCATGCGCTGGGGATTCTATTCCACCGGGAAATTTCTTGCCAAGTTAGACAAGTTTGGTACAGCGCAGCTAAGTCGGCTTGACCTGAGTTTTCATTCCTGCCCCCTGGAGGGTCATTTTGCTGCCAGCCATGACACCTGCAGTAAGAGGCAAACCAACTGATATGGTTTTGCTCAATGGTCACGTTAAGCTGCTTTTGAAATATTTGTGTTTATATGTGTCTGTGTTGTGCTGTTCTCAGCTTTGGTCAGGGGGACTTCTTTTTGCTGTAGACAGTAGTTAACGTGGAGATTTAGAACTTGTCAAAGGGCCGAGAATAAGAGAGTAAGTGACTGTTGAGCCCTAAATGGGATATCTATATTAATCCTTTGTCCCAAGGCTCAGAGAACATCCCAGTAACAGGCCTGGGACGGGGACAAGTGCTGCGAAATGCTGTCACATGTTATGGCATGGCAATTGCACACATGAACTCATGGCCGCTACTAGTCAACATTCTAGCATGGATGGATCGTGGAGGGACCCGCGAGGCCCCAGCCCTTACTGAGACACTGTTGTCAGTTGGGGGAGAGAGAGGCATTTTCCCTTAGGGCTTGGCTGTGGGTAGGTTGCTCATATTCCATTCAGCTAGCCGATGGCTCCAACCACAGGGGTGGTACGAACGGGACTCAACAGATCACGATGAAAAATAAAGAGAAGAGGACATGAAACTGGCAGAGGAGCGTGTGAGGAGGGCTTGGGGATGTTGAAAGGAGGGAGTGAACATGATTAAATACGTATATGCAGATATGAAATTATTAGAGAGTAAGTTAGAAGAGAAAAAATAGGATGTGAGAGCAAATGCAACTAAGTGGGGTATGAGGCACCAGATGTACTCGTCTCTCTACTTCTGTGCATCCGTGAAAAGTTTCACCTACAAGTAGCGCATAAGTCTAAGCACATACATACTGGTGTCAGCACAAACGATTTTGAATTGCATGTGATTGAATACAAACCACTGATTATTTAAAACAGTTGCTGAAAATGTTGGGGAGTCCCACCTGGGTTACCACATATTACCTGGGAAATCTGGATCCCTTCTTAGGGTTCATGGTTTCAGTAATGAAAGATTTTTAAGGGAGCCAGAGAGATGGCTCTGTGGTTAAAAGCACTTCCAGAGGACCCGAGTTCAGTTCCAGGCATCCAGGTTGGATGGACCATAGGGAGCTCCAGTACCAGGGGATATGATACTCTCTTCTGGATTCTGCAGGCACTAGAACATAACACACGAACACCCTCACCCCCCCCCCCACACGAGTGTTGTTTACTTTTTGTCAATTCAATGTAAACTTGAGTCACCTGGGATAGAAAACTCAGCCTGCATCCAAATGGCTTATGGGCAGATCTGTGGAATTTTTTAAATTGATGGCTAAGGTGGAAAGGCCCAGGCCACTATGAACAGTGCCACCCCTGGGAAGGTGGCCCTGGGTTGCATCAGAAAACAGACTGAGCAGGCCACGGGGAGCAAGCCAGCAGGCAGCATTCCTTCATCATTTCTGCCTTGGTGCCTCCCTCCAGGTTCCTGCCTGGGCTTCCTTCATAAAGGCCTGTAAACTGGTAAGCTAAATAAGCCCTTTCCTCACCAAGCTGTGTTTGGGCATGGGGTGTATCACAATAACAAAGAGCAAACTAGGGCAGTTCTCTTCCAGCACTTTAGGCCAAGAACCAAGGATGTTTGTGGAAATGCTGCTTTAGGGTCTCTGCCTTTAATCTGCCCAGCCAATGTCTATCTTCTGTTCTCATCAAAGCTGCAAAAGACTGGGCGAAATTCACACCTATAACACAGAAACACAAAGAATATGAGCAGTGGGATAAAAATGGATTGGACGAAAACTCACAGTTGTGAATGTAGATGCCGAGACAGCATGCGAAGTGTTCATTACTTATGTGGTATGGATGCCCATGAGGTGTGCAGGCCTGGGTGTGGAGGGGAGAGGCTGATGCCAGGTGTGTTCCTCAGTCGCTCTCCGCTTTATTTTATTTTATTTTTTAAAGATTTGTGTGTGTGTGTGCGTGCGTGCGTGTGTGTGTTCGTGTGGTGTGTTCTGGTACTCACAGGGGATCCCCTGGAACCATAGTCAGAGGCATCCATGAGCTGCCTGGCATGGGAGCTGGGGTTCCAACGCTGGTCCTCTGGAAGAGCAGCAAGTGCTCTTTAACTGCAGAGCCATCTCTGCAGCCTGCCGCCCTGTTTCTGGAGACAAAGTCTCACTTTTAACCAGCAGCTCCTTTGCTCAGCTAGACTGGCTGGCCGGCAGCTCCTGGGTTCCACCTATTTCTGCGCACCCTGTACTGGAAGTGTAGGTGTGTGCCTCTGTGCCTGACTCTGGGATCTGGGATCTGAACTCAGATCCTCATGCTTGTGTGCAAGCACTCTCCGCTCTGGCTGCCCCTTCCCAGCCCTGCTTACCGCCTTTGCATATTTTATCATGGTATCTCAGTCTCAGAGTTGTTTTAACACTTTTCACCACCATTTTAAAACTTGCATAAACACCTTTTTGTTTGCTTGTTTGTTTATTTTGCTTTGCTTTGCTTTGAGATAGGGTTTCTCTGTGTAGCCTTGGCTGTCCTGTACTCACTTTCACAGACCAGGTTGGCCTCGAGCTCACAGAGCTCCTCCTGCTTCTGCCTCCCTGAGTGCTGGGACTACAGGTGTGTGCCACCATGCCCGGCTTCTATCAACATCTTAATACCTAAAAGTTATCGTTCTTTCTGTTTTTGAACATATTATCACATCATCAATGTCTTATCAGTGTTCCTATCGAAAATTCTAGCTTTGGTGTAATTTTCCCTCGACTGATCTATTTTATCTCTTTGAGACATCTTAATAACTTTTCTTTGAAAATGATATTATAATGCCTTAATGCCTTAACTCATTCTGTTTGGATCTCAGAACACATCCAATCTGATGTTTTATATGTGGCTTTAATGTTGAGAAGTTCTCGGTGTTGTTTTGAAAGAGTTCTGTATGTTACTCATATCTTCTTCCAATGGGGACTTCCCAGAGGACACATTAATGTTCCTGTTTCCTGCTTCCTTGTCTCTTAAGTTTTCTTTTAAAAAAATAATTTCTTTTATGTCTGTGAGTGAATGTATGTCTGAGCGTCTTGTGGATGCAGTCAGTACCTGTGGGGTCAGAAGGGGCTGCCAGATCCTCAGGGACTGGAGTTACAGATGGCTGTAAGTGGCCATATGGATTCAGGAAATTGAACCCAGGTCCTCTGGAAGAGCAGCCTCTGCTCTTAGCTGCCAAGCCAGCTCTTCTGCTCTGCATCTTCATTTTCTATCACTCGTCCCCACTTTATCCCTCCCTAGTGTCTGCAGATAACCTTCCCTGACCAGTTTTCCTGCTTGCTCAGTATTTTGACAACTTTCGCTTTCAAATAGAATCTCTAATTTGTTCTTTTTCGTTTTGGCTTATTCACAGCCTGTGAAATGTCTCGGCAGATAAAGGCACTTTCTTGCTAAGCTAAGCTTGACAATCTGAGTTTGATTCCTAGGATGACAACTCCACCACCACCACCACCACCACCACCACCACCACCACCACCACCACACACACACACACACAGAGAGAGAGAGAGAGAGAGACAGAGACAGAGACAGAGAGAGAGAGCTGACAGCTGGTCCCATTGCTAAAGACAACATTCGTACAGCTCACTGAATGCCTCGCTGGTGCCTGCATGGAGCCTTCACCCCTACATTCTTGTCTCTTTGGTGCAGGAATGTACTCTGTCCAGCCTGCAAGATGTGGTGCAG